CGTGAGAGATTGGTTTTTTTTTTTTTTTTTTTTTTTTTTCGTTTCTCTCGCGCATTTGTTGGTTTTGCTTATCGAATATTTTTTCCTCTCGTACAGTTTCTTCGTTCGATCGTGCGCTTACTTTACACTCTGCCCGCCCCAGATCATGTACACGGAACAACAGATACCCCTATAACGCGATCGTCTCCCCTGGTTTTATTTATGTATAATTTTTTTTTTTTTTTTTTTTTTGCTATAGGCCGTTCTCGCTCGCGACAAACCTTAGAGTGCCATTTGGCCCTTTTTTTTCCCAAAAAAAAATCGTGGCCATCCACTGGAGTGGAAACCTGTCGCGTACAACATATACAAGCACAACTTTCGGCGCACTCGGACCAATGGGGTCCTCGAACAATGACTGTCCTTTATGATAGCTAAGAGGAAATAGAAAAAAAAAACAAAAACTTTAGCTACGAGGAACTATCCGAAACGCCGATCCAAAGGAACTTAAAACGATTCCTGAAGATCCACTGGTCCAACTACGCCGATGTTGTTGAAGAGAAAAAAAAAAAAAAAAAAAATCGGTATCGTTTCTGCTTTGTTCTTCCTTCGCATTGGCTATATATATATACGCACAGATTACACTCCAGCCCGTCACAGCTGTACAATATGACATTACACACCGATATTGCGAGGTGGTTGGGAGGGCGGGTAGGGGATGGGTGAAAGCAACAACGATAACAATATATAATAACAGCCGTCATCAGTGGTACAAAAGTAAGAAAAGAAAACAAGTGTGATGAGAGCGCGGTTGCGGGTCACCCTGGCACTCCACTGCCGAGTCCCGAGAACGACCGGCAGTCTCGAGGCGTGTCCCCGACGATGCACAGCAGCCGTCCACGTTCTCCCCGCTATGATGATGATGATGATGATGCCGTTGTTGTCTTTAATTTACACACACATTACACACGCTTAATGCACGCTTACACAGGGAAGTGCTGAGATTTCAGGGTTGGAGGGGCATAGGGAGGGATGAATGAGAGACACCTCGACCAGCACTCGCAGTGACGGCCAATCAAGCGATTGTCGAGCGCAAGCCACCGGCGTATTAATTGGCGACGAGGAGGTGCTGGTAGTTGCTGGCCGGGTAGGGCGTGACCGAGCCCAATCCAAAGTTGTTGAGGCCATCGACGAGGTTGGCCTTGTCGGCGGCGCTTTGCTGCTGCTGCTGCTGCTGCTGCGTCGGGCCCCCCACCGAGGCCCCCGAGCTCCCGACCACGACCGAGCTGCCCGAGCCGATGGGGCCGAGATTGTTGGAGGGACTTTGGGGCGAGCCGGCGTTGCCGACGCCACCGTAGAATTGGTGGCCGATCGTGCCCGGGTCGAAGTAGGACGAGGGGAACTTGGCCCCGGCGTAGAGGTCGGTGGCCGTGGGGGCCAGATAGCCGTTGTGCGAGCTCGCCGAGTCGAAGATGTTGCGCAAGGGGAACTGCGGGTGGTAGGGGGCGGACGGCGGGGGCGCCTGGTGGAAGAAGTAGGCGCCGGGATCGGCGGCCACCGCGGCGGCGTGCTGGTTGTGGCCGTTGACGAGGCCACCGCCGGGGGACAGGCTGCGGCTGTTGGGCGAGCTCTGGGAGACGGGCAGTCCACCCGGGGTCGGGGGTCCCTGGACTCCGGGCTGCGGCTGGGGCTGCTGGTGGTGTTGCTGCTGCTGGTGGTGATGGTGGTGGATCTGCTGCTGCATCGCCCGCTGCTTTATGTAGTTTGAGAACTCGGTGGGGGACATCCTGAAACGGCAAAGAGACGACCGAGGTGATCACCAAATCAAAGATCCGATGAAAGCACCGGTGCACTGGGACGTGTGTATCATGAGGTTGGAGAATGTACCTGTTGACGCGCTTGCTGCTGGACTTGAGCTTGGTGCTGCCAAACTTGGTCTGGGCAAAGGTGGCCGTGGTAAAGGTGAGCGGGGCCGTGCTCCTGGGTATGAAGGCCGGCACGGGACTAGGCGAGCCCTTGAACGAGCCGGCGAGTGGCGTGGGCGAGGGAGCGGACGACGAGCCGGACACGTGGCCGTTCTGCTGTGGCTGCTGGGACTGCTGTTGGGGCTGCTGTTGGGCTTGTTGGACTTGTGGTGGTGGTGGTTGCTGCTGGGAGTGTTGGGGCTGCTGTTGGGCCTGGGACTGCTGGCCGCAGCCGTTGCTGATGATGCTGCTGCTGCTGCTGCTGCTGCTGCTGCTGTTGCTGCTACTGTTGCCGAGAGCCATGGGGCCCTGGTGGTTGGAGAAGGGCGAGATGGACTTGGGACTGAGGCTGAGGCCGCTCAGCGAGCTACCCACGGCCTCGATCGGCCGGAAGCACTGGGCCTCGGGGTTGAAGGTCTTGGTGACCTCGCGGTCCGCCGAGGACTCGTCGTGCGGGTCCGTGTTCTCCGAGTAGAGTATCTTGATCTGGCTGGTCTCGCCGATGCGGTAGCTGACCTCGCCCGGGTCGACCCAGACGGCCAACTCGGCCGGGAGGTTCTCGAGGATGTCCTGGATGGGGACGCCGCTCTCCTTGGCTGCGCGCTCGAGGACCGGGTCCACGGGGTCCCCGGTTTTGAGGCATCGGAAGGCCGAGCCCTTGAACGGCTTCTCCGGGTACCAGTGGCCCTGAAACTTGTCCTTGAGGGCCTTTTCGAGCTCCTCGCCGAATATGTTGACCCGCCGCCTCGGCAGCTTGTTGTACAGGTACGATATTATAAAGTTGAGGGCCACCTGCACCTCCATGTGCATCTTTGGCTTGGAGAAGAGAATTTTCGGGCTGGTACTCGGGCAGTTAGCCTTGGCAACTTGCAAAGAGTAATAATGATGATGTTGTTGTTGTTGTTGTTGTTGTTGTCGTTGCCAATGGCCTCGGCGCTGGGGGCCGTCGTGAGATCTGCGCCCGATTTTGACGTCACCGCTGCCGCTGCTTTTAGCTTTCAAAGTCTCGTCGCAGTTGGCAACGTCAGCTCGAGCGATGGCCAAAGTCGAACCTGAAACAAAAACATCAAGAATCATGATTATTATTATTATTATTATCATCCCTCCTGCATCTGTATATGTAGCTTTTATAGATACTCGATAGCATACAAAACTGCCGATAGTCCCACCGGCTGTCTCACGGGAGGAGGGACGCGTAATTCACAAAATACGTGTAGTGGATCCAACGCTTGCCAAAGACAAATAATAATAATAATACATCTCAAGCTCCTTCGTGAGATTTCCAATGAAATACCGTAGCTTTTGCGTATACATTTCTACAATGTTATTTCCCGTTTGATACAACTTTTTTTTTTGCCAAGCGACGATGTGGCTGTGTAAATATTGAACAAGTATCCGACCAAGAGTGTAAAATATTACGAGCGCCTTGTACAAAGATTGTAGGTAAAATTAAGCGCTTGGAAGGGGGTACAAGAGAAAATGTTGTACGTCCATGAAGTCGCATCAGCCGAAATTATCGCGTGCCAAGGGAAACAAGCGCGAGACACGTGCCCTCACACGTACGGGTACATGTAAATATATAACGCAGTATACCTACACACGCGTGTTATAATGGCACTCGTTCCAAATTCGTACGCGATCAATGCCAAGATAACCTCTTTCCTCGTCAGATAAGGTATTTTTTCGCGTGTATTAAGGTATATGTATACCTTACACGTAAAGCATACACGCGGTACTGTACAAGGCGGTGATGAAAGATTCGTGTGATTCACAAATGGAGGTGAATTCCGCGAAGTCACGATAAAAGAAAAGAAAAAAAACAATATTACGTACGGAGAACGAATTTCACGCCTCACTTTGACTCCGAGAAGTCCGTCTTGCGTGTGAGACCACGAGCACGTGGGATTCGTAATGAGCAAAGAGAGAGAGAGAGAGAGAGAGAGAGAGACAGAAAAATAAGATGAAAGCTCGATAAGGTATACTTTCAAACGGTACGTATATACGTTATACGTAGCAGCAAGCACAGCCTCACGTACGTAGCCGTCTGGTTAATTTGCATGATCGCTCGTGTATGTTATACGCCCGATCAACCAGCAATATCGCACATTTATCTACGACGAGCTCCTTTCCTCCCCTCGGGGGTGCTCCATGTGTGTTGTACGCGCAGAGGTCGGTCCGATCGGTTTCTCTCTCCTCCCCCCCCCTCGTCGTTTGATAGCTCTTTTCTCGCACCCCCGCCTCATATACACCTCGTTGTTGAATTATTCTTCCGCCCGATTCATCCCGACCTTCCTCTCTGCCGGTTTATTGGCTGGGCTGAGTTTTGGGGTGGAAGCAGGTACACGTGCCCTATTGTTGTTGTTTGGCGCAAGGTACCTTTCACGGCTCAAGGCTCGTCGAGAAAAATATAAGAAAAATATAATCTCTGGGTACGCGGGCACGATATGATCATCGGATCGTCATTGTGATACTTTTGTAAATATCGAGGGTGAGGGTACCACTCGCACGAACGATCTCGTACAGATTTTAAGCATATCGAACGATCAGCTTGGGTCCGGCCAACAAAAGGTGGTTGGAGGATTGGATAAAAATCAACTGAGGATATTCATTAGTATCAACCCTCTACCTCGACCCTGTGCTCACCACCGTCTTCCCCCCCCCCCCCCGTTACAAGTGAAATTACGACGCGCCAAACGAGTACCGATAAGTTGTATATGGATGTGTATAGAATAAAAGTAGGAAAAAGGCAGAGAGAGAGAGAGAGTGCCTATAAAATGCAAACCAGTAAAATCCAAGAGAGAGAGAGAGAGAGAGCTGTATACGGCTGCCCGAGGATTAAGACCAATTTTGTCCAACGTCAATTTGCTACCAATTCCTCCCTCGCCCCGTACAGCTCGCCAAAAGTGCCGTAATCCTCAGTGACACTTATCTCGCTGTTGCCCTCTTTCGTATAATTTTCTCTCCCTCGACTCTGCTCTATGGATACTCGTATATTTATATATATATAGAGAGAGAGAGGGAAAAGATGAGCGCGTGGAAACAATTTCTCCCAGCGCGCAGCTGGGCTGTATATACGTATACACACCTTATTCTTGGGCGTCTCCCAACCAGCTATATAACTACGTATATATGATACTCTCTGGCCATTTTTTCCTCTTTTCTCTTGGCACCCCCTGGTTAACTGCTTCCTCTTTTTTCCATGTATCCTTAGGCCGATTTTGTGTGTGTTTTTTAAAAATTGTTTTCACGTGAGCCCGTTGAGGGTATCGTTCGGCGATGATGCGCTCGACGACCGTTTGATCCGAGCGCGCAGTTTTCCCTGATCGTTGTTATGGTACCACCGATGGCTCTGCGTTTCCTGGGGGAGTATGAGTAACGGGAAAGTTTACAGCACCGTGGAAGAGGCAAGAACAATGCCCCCCCCCCCTCACTTGAAGGTATACATGTTGTATACAACATATACATTGCAAGGGAGCACGGCTTCAAGCCCCTCGGCTCGCGGTGTATGAAATTTAATTGAAACCGTCAAGAGAACCCAAAGGAATACTTTGCAAAGAAAACTGATGGAAGGGGGTGGAGGTGCGGGGGTGTCGGGAAGGTAAATTGTATATGCACTGGCGCGAGTGGATCGACTCGGATTATTGTCGAGGCTCGTGCGTGGAATGTTTTGCTCGCGATAAATTGTAATTGTTACCAACGACAAAAGGAGATAGTCGATGCGTCTCGATATCGATCGCCTCTGAGATTATATGCTCCGTAGACGGATTCCGTATCTTATCGACGCGACGACGAATGCGAAATTTTTTCAGGGCACGGATTTACATGTAGTCGTAAAATTCGAATTGTTTTATTTCGTGTTGATATTTCAGTTGGTTGAAATAACAAAAGACAAAAACAGCCGTCAGCACTATACGAGGGTCGATTGGATTGGCTGTAGAAAAAAAAAAAAAAAAAAAAAAAACGTGCCTCTCTGGTCCGAAATGAAAAAAGTGGCCGAGTAATCTTGAAATTTAATAACGCCCTATATACAGCCTTTCCCCCTTTTTCTTTCCGCAAACGATCGAGTGGAAAAGAAAAAAAGAGGCAGTGCCTCTCTCCCCCAACGTCTTGCAGGGACGATCGATTATCGCCAGACAAAGTTCGGTGTATACGGGTGTGGGTCTTGTATAATACACCTACAGACACGTACACATAAGCGTGTACGTGTGCGCCAACCGATGGTCGCTCTTGCAAACTTTCTCTCAAGATTTTCAAGAGTGTGCTCCGTCTCCTTTTGTGACTCCAAGAGGAGCAGGGGTGGGTGTGGAGAGGGATGGCTCTTTCATGGTGATTTAAACTGCCCCTTCGCTGCCACGCCCTTACCGCATACACACCTGGGGTGGAAGCTCCCTTTGAAATAAAATTTCAGAACAATGTAAGAATGACGATGCGCTTGCGGCAACTTTAGGAGTACGAGGTGACTATATGTATATATATATATATGTATACACTTTTACAATGGCGCACATTATCGATCGCAAGGATATAAGTTTCGGTGGTGCTAATGGACTTTCTGGGTAACCCTTAATTAGAATGCGCGCGAGTGTGTACGAGGGCTCGTTAAATGCAAAAAGTTAGCGTAATATACATGCACGGGGTAATCTGGTCGCGAATCGATGATAATTTACTGATTTACCATGTACAGTTGGAATCAGATCATCGCTCGGTCGAGTGATATTTTACAGCCCGGTGACTCTAACTGTTGCAAAATTTGATAGAGGGAAAAAGCAGTGATCGACCGATTCAGTTTCAGAAGGTGGGGCTCCATTATAGATCTATACCCGCGAGTGTTATTACAGCGTCGCTTTGAAAATTGCGTTGATTAAGGGAGAAAAACAAACTCGTGGCTAAACCGTCCGCGATATGATAGGGTGATCGTGAATTAACTCATCACGTTGAGGGAAAGTCATTAAAATGAGCAGAGGAAAAGCAGTATGAAAACAGATCAATGGGAGTTTTTCCCTTCCAACCTGCACACGTCTTTGGTATTTGTTTTAAAAATAAAACATCTTCACAACTCCACGGTGCACGTATACACTCACGTGATGCACAATGTACTGCGGGGATGAATTCATGGAAATTCACTGATAAAGACATCCAACCCACGTCTTTGGGAAGTCATTCGAAACGGAAGGTGACGTATGGACTTTTTTTATTAAAATCCGCTTTATCGCGGTGCTTAACACCGTAATCGTACTCTCGGTATAAACACATCTTGTTTCGAAAAAAAAAAAAAAAAAAAAAAAAACACAAGTCTCAAAGAGCCCAGCAGAGAAGAGCAAAAATGTATATTACACATACCCACTGTGGTACATCAGGGGCGGCTTATTGATCCTGGCGCGCACCTCAACTCCCCCACGTATTACCGTGTACGAGAGCTCGGACGCAGGAGAAGGGATTACAGTTGCGCGGAAGCTTTTCAAAGTTAAAAATACCGAGGTGCTCTCGAGATCGCAATTTCCTCCATCGCGTGTACGTTCTCCTTGTCTCTGTATCGGCGTTATGTGCTTGCGCAACCGAGGGGCCCTAAAACTCGCGGCTTTCGCACTCTGGGGTGCCTATAATATGACTCCGAGGCTTGCCACTCCTCCCAATTATTGTTCCGACGTATCCCACTGTTAAAAGAGTGGGATAATGTACGCACACGCAGGGCAGCACTTTGCTCATGGTGGCAGGAAAACCTTTTTTTCTTTTTTTTTTTTTTTTCAACCCTCCGTGCCCCTGTGGTTTCTTATTTCCTTCCGTATACGACGGAAACCCTGCCCCGCGGACTACGTGTTGTATACGTCTCGACTGGAATTTCAATGAGCCGGCGGGCTTGTCTGTGTAACAACTTTACGCCCAACGTATATATGTGTACACCCACCGACTCGTGGCTCGAGGCCTCGGACACGGGAGCCAACTTGGAAATCGATTCCCCTTGGAATTAATATCTTCCTTATTTCGAGCTGATCCGCCCGGATTTTATTGACTACGTACACACGGCCAAAGTTTTCGCGCGAGTCAGCTCGAA